GACTTCATGAGACTTTATGAGACTTCATGAGACTTCAAAGACTTCAGAGACTTTATGAGACTTTATGATAATTCATAAGACTTCAAAAGACTTCAAGAGACTTCAGAAGACTTCAAGAGACTTCAGAAGACTTACAAGACTTCATGAGACTTCACGGCTGAAGTCTCTGCTGATTCCCCCTTGCCTACACTCCAAAACTGTCTATATTGATAACCCTTAGTGGCAAGATCTTTGAATAAATTGAATTTCAAAAGTTTTCAGTGTGATATGCGATTATATCTTCAATGAAAGTTTACTGTCTCTTCCAAAAAAAGAAATTTCAATAATTATTTCTTTTAATAAATAATGAATATTTAACTTTCCTTCATCAAGAATAAAATTAAATTAAGAGAGGATCAATCTCTCTCTATTTAGTCTTAAAAATTTTGTTGTATATGCTCCTCTTCAGCAACTAATGCATATTGACTTGCAAAAAATTATAAGTCGTTTACAAATCTTGATAAATTCATGCTAATGTTTCAATTATAATTCGTAAGAAAATATTTCTTCTTATACTTTAGTTTCTAAATGATACTGCAATGCAAGCCTTTCCATTGACTAAACAATTATCTTTACCACCCAATTTTACATTTCATTCCATGAGTTCACCAACAGCACGTCGATCAAAATGTAAGTCGATCGAATTTTTTTTTCTTTATTAATGAAAATTAAAAATTTTCTTTTGTTTTTCCTTAAATTTAGTGAAAACAATTGAAGTAGTTAAAGTTTCATCATTATCATCGGTTATTGGTTCTCCATCCCGTTTTATAACATTACAAATAGATAGACCATCATCATCATCATTTAATGATGAAGAAAATCTTCCATTAAGTGTTCGTACAAGTACAGAAGTTTTATATCGTCCAACATCGTATATATCTCATCATCGTTCAAATACAGTTCCATCACGTCATCGAAAATCTGGTTCAATAAAAATACCAAATCAACAAACAACACATCTTTCACCAACATATAAACGCCATGACAATATTCAACAACAGCCAACACTTCAACCATTTTCACCATCATTATTACCATCACATGCAAGACGGCGTATACGTGCTATTGATGATCCCGATGACATAGATTCACCAACAGGTAGTATTATCAATCGTTATGTTTAACAACATATTTGAAAATTCCGTCCAAAAAAAAATAAAATACACATGACAGACGACGGTTTCTGTCAGATAGGGAAAAAATAAGCTGTATTTGTGTGTTGTCATCTAATCTTATTAAGAAAGAGAGCGTCTGATACTTAATATCAAACAAAACTCTTCTTATTTCTTCTTTTTTCTTTAGTTGTTTTATTTTTTCTGTCATTCAGCTGATGGACGCATCTCTTGTGTTTGTTTTTCTTATTGTGTTTGTGTGTCAGTTGCATATCAAGTTTTTTTTCTTTCTTTTATTTCCCTTCTTTTTTTTGAATAAAACAAAAAGCAAGAAAACAATAAATTAAATTTAAAGTCATTGCAAACGAAGACATGATTGACGAAGTTCTTCATATCGACGACGATCCTATAAAAGAGAAATTTATGAAACATATAATCCAAAAAAAACAAGAAGAATAATTACCGTTTCAGAAACTGATGGTAGTATTTTACTAAATGCTCGATCTATATGTGATTGATGAACACAAGCATTATCTATTGGTAAAGATTTCGAAATATGTTCTGTCATTGCAATTTCTGATGCTTCACGAATTAATGCAGCAAGATCGGCACCACTAAATACATAATATCAATTGAAACAAATGATCAGAAAAATTATCGCGCAATTATAATCTCTAACCTAATAAATTTACTTTTATCGTAATCAAAAAAGATTCTTACAACATCTGTAGTATTGGTAAAAAATATGAGACCAATATATTTTGTTTTTTATGGTATCAAGCATTTAACTCAAACCTAAATATTGGTTTGAGTAGCCAATGAAGTTCTCTATCGAATGCATTACAGACTGAAATTTCATAGATGAGTTATTAGAAGAAGATTCCTGAAAAACCAAACAAGGTAGTGTTCAGGCCTCAGAAGACTGTGTGAGAAGAGCACCATCTTAAAAAGCACAACATTTTTTAATAGAATGAGGACTTGTCACATTTCCTATGACCATTCCTTGCAAAGTTATAAGCATTACAAAAAAAACAAAAACATGCGTCTTTTAACCATGCAACGATAAATTTCGTTTTTTTAAAAACTTTTTGTGATCCCTATGACTTTTCAAGAGAAGGTCTTAGAATATACGGTGACAACTTACTTGGCTCAGGATTTTGTGCTCTTTAAGATAGAACTCTTTTTTCATACACTCTTCTGGTACTGTGACACTATCCTGTTCGGTTTTTGAGAGATCTTTTCGTCATTGTCCATCTCTGAAATTTGAGTATGGAATCCATTTGATAGAGGATTTCATTGACTATTGAAGTCATTATTTAGGTTTTGAGTTAAATATTTGATTTCATAGAAAAAAACTACGATGGTCGTATATGTTTGATCAGTGTCGCTGATTATTTTTTTGTTAGACCGGATAGAGATAAATGATATACAGAGAAAAGTCAACAAAAATTCAGAAGACAACCTATTGTTCATATGTTAACTAAAGTATAAAATATAGAATTTCTCTTAACTGAAGAATAAACTCTTTTTCTTACGATAATTCTGAAAGGAAATGACAATCTATTAAAGTAATACTTACGTATATCCATGACAACGTTCATCATCACCCATCGCTTGTAGATTAACATCCGATGCTAATGGTGGTCGAGTACCATTCTAAAATGTAATAAAATTATTTTTATTTTTCATTTAAAATATCGCTCATCACTTTTGTAATTGTTCTCAAAATATCAAATCGTCCTTGAGCATTTGGAAGACCAATATAAATATGTTTATCAAGGCGACCCGGACGAAGTATAGCCGGATCGAGAATATCTATTTAAAAACAAAAAACAAGACAACGTTTGCTTCTTATGAAAATAATGCTTTTGTTTTTGTTGTAAACTAACCCATTCGATTTGTTGCTGCCATAACATAAACACGTTTACTAGCTGTTGTTTGATCAACACCATCCATTTCAGTTAGTAATTGATTGACAACTCGAGCTGTTGAGCCAGTATCATGAGCTGTACGACGTGGACATAATGCATCAATTTCATCGAAAAATATTACACATGGATTTGAATCACGCGCTCGTTGAAATACTTGTCGAACTGCTCGTTCACTTTCACCAACATACTATTTATTTTTTTGTTTAAAGAAAAATGCAAATGAGATTTAATTAGACCACAAAAGAGATTTTTTTTTAAAATACCATATTTAACAGTTCAGGTCCTTTAACTGATATAAAGTTAATACCAGATTCATTAGCGATTGCTTTAGCTAATAAAGTTTTACCTGAAAAAATATACGAAGATTTAGAATTAGAATGAAGAAATTTAGAAAATTAAAAAAAAAAGAAAAAACTAACCACATCCTGGCGGACCAACAAGTAATACACCAGGTGATCGAACAAATCCAAAACGATCATATAAACTTGGATGACGAATAGAAGCCTATGAAAAATATGTCGATTGTTTATTAAGAAAATGGCTAAAATAAACAAGAAATTCATCTTACTAGAATAGCCATACTAAGTTCTTCACGAACATCTTTTAATGCACCAATATCATCAAATGTAACATCAGGTACTGTTGCAAAACCTTCGCGTTTACTTGATGGTTGAACACTCTTCAAAGCTATCTATTTTGTTTAAAAATGAAAACAAATATAATCATTAAAAAGAAAAACAAATCTCGTTCATTCTTTTTCTTTTGTTTATTTACTCGAAAATCATTCATTGTTATCGTACATGAATTCAATGAAGAACTTTGTTGTTCAATGTCTGGTTCATGAATTTTTTGTTTTACCCATTCAATCGCTTTAAATTCGTTTATATGTAACAAATAAATCAATAAAAAAAAAAAACAAAAGAACATACTAGATTGATTAGTATTCAAATCAGCGTTCATCTTTCTAAATAAAATCATTTTATTAATAGATCATTTAATGGGAGGTCAGAATTGGGGAGCGAACCCAAATTCCTCTCATTAACCCTCATAAAAAGCCTTGCTTTTATGAATACTTTCTAAACTCCATATTACTTAACAGTATTCAGTTCCATTAAAAAAGTACTTATCAGCAGCATTCATTTACATGAAATTACAGTTCTAGGGTTCCTTTCAGCACGATAGCATCGACAAATTGACAACATTTATGAACAAACATTATTTAGTTAAAAATGAATCAGAGAAGCATCATTTGGTAATCGTATTGAGCACTCCACTTTTTCCATTAGAACTTGTTGCATACAATTAATAATATGTCGTCCTGGCTGACACAATGTAGTGATCAGTGGTACCAATCGTTTTTGGCACTGATCAGAAAACTATTTTCAGTTCAGACTTTCGCGCTTAGTAAGACATGCACTAGTGAAAAACACGATATCAGTCTCTATTAATCTTGCATGATCTGCTCTCTTCGAGATTCTTACTTTTTTTAAATTCATCAATACTCCATCTATTATGTACGATTATTTGTTCGATAACTCAGTCGCTGATGAAAACAAGAATTAATTTTACTATCAAAATTGTAGGATTTTTAGTTTTTATAAAAGTTAATCAGAAGAATTTGAGTTCAGACTGAAAGTCATATAATCTCATTTAGTTAGATATGAACTTTTACCTATTTAATGCTGCTATTAATGCTTCATCAATTAATGCACTTAAATCAGCACCAACAAATCCAGGTGTCTTCAGTACAATTTCGTCGAGATCAAATGTAGAATCGAGTGAAGTTAATTTTCGACACATCATTGTTAAAATTCTTAAATGTAGTACATAATGACAAATATATTGTTGAAAAAAAGAAATTTTTACCTTCGTCGTTCATTTTCATTTGGAATTCCAAGCGCGATTTCATGATCAAATCGACCAGCACGTCTCAATGCTGGATCAAGCGAATCAGGTCGATTTGTTGAACCAATAATAGCAACACGAGTCATTGGTGAACGAGATAATTCTTTATCGAAAAAAAAAAGAAATATGTTTCTAATTCATTTAATTTTTAAGTCTTATTTTACCATCAAGACATGCCAATAATTGAGTAACAATACGTCGTTCCATATCTTTCGAAGCTGATTCACGTCGTTGTGATATAGCTTCAATTTCATCGATAAACAAAATACATGGAGAATGACGCTAGAAACTTATATTTTGTAAAAAAAATCGAATTTCAATTCTTTCTTTTTTTTTACTTTTGCTTGATCGAATAATTTACGAATTTTATATTCTGAATCACCGGATATTCCAGATACTAATTCAGTTGATGTTGTTTTTAGTATTGGTAAATTTAGTTCCTATTAATGAATAAAAAAAAATCAAATCGAAGAAAAATTTTTTTTAATTGATTTACTCCAGCTAATGCTTGAGCTAAGAGAGATTTTCCAACTCCCGGTGGCCCATGTAAGAGAAATCCACGTGGTGGAGTTTTTCCATTTTGAACAAATCCTTCTGGTCGTAATATAAAATAAATTCGACGAATAAAATTCTAAATTTTTCTTTTATTGAATTAATTGAATTCTATTAAAAATAGGCTTATACTTCTTTAAATGCATCAGAGGCAGCAAAATCTTCAAATGTTACTGTCGAATATTCAACATCAGGACCTAATAAATATAATTTAAAATAATGCTTCACTTCTACCCAAAATTATATTAACACTTATTGTTTATTGACTCTCAATCACTGTACTTTTTGAGAAAACAAAAGTCGATGCGACTAGATGTATTCGAGTATGTTTTATTTAAAATATCAAATCAGATTTTCTTAACACTATGATCAAGGTGGAAAAATCGCCAAATATTTAGAACCACTATTATATTTTTGTTACTTTTGATTCAGAATGGTGTAAGTTTTACTTGACCTTCTGATCGTTTGAAGACATCATTTAACGAAGAAAGTTCTTCAAGTGATTAACGACTTTTGAGCTGAGACTGTGAGTATCACGTAGATCCTAATGAGCTATGGGTATCAAGAAAAGAGTTGGAGTTCTTTGTTGATTACTGTGAGGATGCTGAATTTTTAGATTATTTTTTTAAGTCAATATCATAGTTCTTTTCAGGAACAGGAGGAAAAGTAATTTTCAAAGTTCAACTTGAAACTTTACATTGAGGCATACCTTGACAAGAATAGTTGATCATGAAAGTTTCAAACCTTTTCGTTGTTTCTTTTCTTAGACATGGCGATGGTAAAGACGTGTCTTTTATATCGCTCATATCTACTGATCAATTCAATTTTCTTATTTCAGATTAGGAGCATACTAAGAGACTTTAAACTTTCACCATAAACTATTCTCATTAAGTTCTATCTCTGTGTAAATTTTCGAATCGAATAGTATTTTTGCAGTAGTAAGCAAAGGATCTGAACTCTTTTCAGAGTATTTATAACACATTAGATTCTACATGATGCACATACCTACAAATGAAGAGCAATTAATCAGTTAGAAAACTTCCATAATAATTGCAATAGTTTAGCTGAAAAATTAGAAGCGTAGACGAAATTTCATTACAGAGAAAAATACGGTGTCAAAATCCGTTCAGGTCAAGACGTACCGGCAGGAAAACACTGGATATTGATGGAACTTGAAAGTAGTATTTCGGAATGAAAAACCTCTGAATTTTTCCGATGATTTCCAACCAATCTCCTATTCTTTGCGACAGGAAAGGGTCGTAAATCATCAGAGAAAAATCCGGGAACTTTTCGACTCGGAATATTGTTTCCATACTCTATTAATTTACAGAGTTTTTCTGCTAGATAAAATGATTTTCCACGCATCTTTCCGGCTAGTATCAGTGAGATCCGATTGTCTCCGGAACTTGCAACCATCAACTTGGACATGCTATCTATTTGCATGAAAAAACATGAACTAAAATCTTTTTATTTTATTGTTGTAGATTTGATACTGAATGTTTCTCAGCAAGAAAACGATGCACAAAACTATTGAACGTCCTATTTTGTCCGAAACTCAAGTCGTCTATTCAAATCCAAACACCAGCTTTCTTTATATTTCAAATTTGGGAATATAAAATAGTGAAATTATGTGATGTTTCCAAACTATTTTGATTTGATTAATAATCTTTCATTTTATATTCAAATATGTTTTGTCTGACAACATTCAAAAGGTCAAGTAACACTAAGATTCTATCTGTTTTTCGACGCAAAAATCGACGAATTTTAATGCATATTTGTTTGCTTCAGCTCAACAACAACGACGAGAAAATCTGATTTCATATTTGAATCAAGCATACTCAAAATGTATGCAGTCATATCTTTTTTTTTTCTTAACGGTCTATATGGGTTGAGAGTGAGCAAACCACAGATGGTCCTTTAACTTTCATCGTATCTATAAAATAAGAAGAAAAGAATTAATAATACCATCAATATCATTTGTGTCTGCTGATTCTACTGGTTTTTTTCTCTTGACTTTTTTTATTGATTTTTCATTTGATTGTTTACGTTTTGCTTGTTGTTCTTCTTCAGGTTTTGTCGATGTTTCCATTTGAACAAGGGAATTTCCTTGTAAAGATGACGATGCTCCAGTATTATTAGCATAAAGATTAGCGACCATTTGATTCATTGTATTAGGACGCTAAACTAGATAGATTCGATAAGATTTCAAAATGAATAATTTTTTCAGAAATTTCTCACATTAGTAGCTTGCTGATCCCAGTCAGCTTCTGAATCGGATGATCTATATTATAAATATAAAATAAAGAGTCTTTCTTTAATAATCATATTTACGTTGCATTTTCTTTTAAATTTTCATTTTTCGATGATACAAATGAAAGAAATTCATTATCAGTTAATAAAATTTCATAAGCTATTTAATATAAGAAGAACAAAAATCATTATTTTAAAGATTTAACAAGCATTTATAATAACCTTTTTCAACAGAACGTGTAAATGGTCGTATTTTTTGTCGTTGATATTCTCTAAAAATTAAATGATCAATAAAAAAAATATTCTTTTTTCATTTACCGATATCGATCTTTTAATGCTTGTGCAATTTTATCTAAACTCCATTGTATTCTTTTTCCATCTTCGAGTAAAAACTATAAACACATAAAAACAAAAAATTATTATTATTTAAAATCTCATTTTTATCACTTCTTTTAATTGTGACACTAAAAGATTATGAACCATATACGGTGCTGACATCTAAAATGAGAAAAACAATTTCTTGGTGCAAATCCTATATGATTAAAATGTGAAAAACGATATAGCTGCTCTTGCTAATCACAGGAAGATCACTTTATTCTATGTGTTTTCGGACATATATCTTCACCATCTTTTTACTTAATCCTCCAGAAATTCAATAGGGAAGTAATTCATATATTAGAACGAGACGTTATTAATATACGATATTTGATCAAATATCAACAATGTCTTGCATGGTCTATGGCGAGAAGGGAAGGAGATTGTTACGGCCTGTCGGAAGATACAAATTTCTACCCTAGATACTTCAACACTTCTTTCAGATCGTGTTTCAGAAAACATGCAACTTTTTTTTTTCGGACAAATAATACAATGCAACGCACTACAATAAAACAAGTTGATAATAAAATTCTACATCAAATGAAACAGAAGAACAACAACAAAAAAAAAACATTTGTTCGTTTTTAATTATATTTGATATACATATATGTGTTATGTTTGTTGGTTTTTTCTCTTATGTAAATTCAACATAATTTTCCCAAAAAGCAATAACAGCTTGAGGATATTTTTGATTAGCAATTTTTGATGAAATCCATTGCGATTGATTTTCATTAATTAATTTAATACGAAATGCTATTCCATCTTGATTATTTCGTACAGCTTCGATTTTTTCAACTTGATCGGTTTCATCGGTTATTTCAGATGTATTTTGATCATTTTGATCATTTTCAGTAGAAATTGTTGCACTATTATTATTATTATTATTACTATTATCATTAGCTGTTATAGAAATAGATGATGTTGAATTTGGTGTAACTCGAAGGAGAAGACTAACTGTCGTTGATTCATTGATATTATTTTCGTTTATTGAGCTTTCATCTGGAAATTCAACACTATTACTATTCATATTATTTTCATCATTAATAGTTGTAATTGTTTTTTCATTAGATGTATTATCAATTTCAGAAATTTTTTTTTCTGGTTTTTTAATTAATGATGATTCTTCTTCAATATTATCATCATCAGTGGAGCTTTGATCATTAGCTACAAAAAAAACATTTTCTTTGTGTAAATTAACGGACGAAGTAAACTTCGTGGAAAAATTTCGCTTTGTTTTTCATCTACTAAAACATATTTCAAATAAATCAAAAATATGTATGCAGAATCTACATTAAACAGACTTTCTAACTGTATGTTCCAAAAAGTTCCATTATGTCTCTTCTCTAACGAAAGAACTCCCCGAAGTGTTTAACCTTCTTTTGAGCTCATACTTTGGGCATATGGAATGGACCTTTAGACTAGCACAAATCTAGAAGGATTTCGGGCCTATAGCCTTTCTGTCTGGAGATATTGAATTTTCAAGTTACAGGGAACATAGCAATTTTGATCTATATCGCAATTACCTCGTAAACGAAAGTATAATCAGAGCTGAAGTTTTTATGATAAACTAATCTCATCTCTGATTCACAGTAATTTTTTTTGTAAACATAAGTGATGATGCAGTGAATTTTTATATGTGCTAATGGTTTCATTGAAAATCATACGATCATAGGAATGGACAGTATATGGTTAGTAGTGAGATTGATGAACTTTCAAAAAATGTTCGAAGTAGAGTACTTGCCGACAATGACTGCATTAAATAAAAAGTGACAAGCAACAGCTCGACTGATGCCAAACAGTATCATCGATATTGAAGCAAACTTCATTGATAGGCTCGAAGTCTCTCGAGCATTCACAAGAAAAATTACTGTGAATCACAGAGATGAGATTACTTTATCATTAAAAGTTAAGCTCTAATTATATTGTCGTTTACAAGGCAGCTGCGATATAGAAAAAAATTGCTGTTTCCTGTAACTTGAAAATTCAGTACCTTCAGACAGATAGGCTATAGGCTAGAGTCCTTCTAGATTTGTGCTAATCTAGAGGTTCGCTCTATATGTCTAAGGCATGAGTTCAAAAGGGGTTAATCACTTCGAGTGGTTCCCTTGTAAGTAGCAAACACATCTTTAACAACACTTAAACATCGTCTGTATCAAACCCAAATTCTGGCTTGGCCTTCAAAGTGAATGGTTTGGGTTCGAACATTATTCAAACCTGTTGAGATAGTGTCGAGTATTTAGGTAATTGCCTAAGCGTTTCTTGACGTATAATATAGACGATTATGGAAGCATCGAAAGACTCAGTTAAGGATATCCTTCTTTTGAACTACTTCTAATTCTTCGCGAAAATCCAATTGGTCGGGTTCAAATTTTTATCACAAATAAATTATTAAAACTGTGGGATCCATGTTCGAGGAAAAAATATTAAAAGAAAGGATTCAGACGTTTTCAAAGGGATCTTCAAAAACCCTGAAAGGTCTACTTTGAAAAATATTTCCTCGAACAGAAATTCCACCGTTTTCGATAATTTTTACTTGTGGTAAAAATTTGAGCATTGCATGGGTTCCTTATTGACTACATTATAGTACTACTTAAGCATGTACTCACTAGGTCAAAGTAAAACAGGATAGAACTTTTTTTGAACATACGATTAAAAATCACTTGCAGCATATATTATTCTGAATAGATATTTTTTATTTGTATGTTTCAGTCGACGAAGAATGAAGCGAAATTTTGTCATAAAGCTTTCCATTAGCCTTTAGATAGAAACTTACACATTAATGAAATACGGCATTTTGTTTGTTTAACAATTTTTCGATTTGAATGACGTCGATTTGATGGAAATGAGTCAATTTTTTTACGTGTACTATGACGTGTAACAATTCGATCATCATCATCATCATTATTATCTTCATTCACAGTTGAATTACTACTAATTTCTGGACTTATTGATCTATATTGATCATTTTCATTCCCATCTTGCATATTGGTATTTTTAGACTTTTTCGATATTGTTTGACTCTTTGATCTTAATTCATGATATAAATGTGATTTTGTTTCATCATTTTTCTGTTTTAGACTTTTTTCAAAGTCTTTAACCAAAGTAGGACAGTTTAAACGACTTTTATCTTCCCACTAAATACAATAAAATTAAATAAATATATATATATTGTGTAAAAAGAAAGACTTTAATTTTAAATTGTTTGACAATGATTCATTGTGCGAATTAATTTAGTGCACAAAACAAAACAAGACAAAACCAACATTTAACCAAAAAAGTTAATCATATCGATTGGCTTTTTTTTATTGCTATTAAATCTTAGATCAGTGATTAAATCAGCATTTTACTATAAGCGATAGAATCATGCATACAAATTCTAATAAGTAATATGTGATGTTAGTAAATAATGTATCATTTTTCTTTTACATTTTGTTAGTAATTTTTTTTATTATTATCTAATGTTAATAGTTTCAAAAACAAATACTTGCAAAGAAGAATATCATCACTCCGATTTCGCTTCATCATCGAAACAACATTATAATAGCACAAAAAATCAGCTTGAGAGTTTGTGATTATACTTAATAGAACACTTAATCAAAGGAATACTTATCTATTACTGTTGGATTCGAACTATTCATTCTAATCGACACTCAATCTTATGTATTATCATATATTTATGTTAAATTCAAATAAAACTATATCCGAAAGTGATTAGACAATAGTGAAAAAAAAGCGAAGCACTTGATTTAATATTCTATTTTAAAGTCTAATGCTGTTATTAATTATCACAACTTTAGTCAAAAAGTATGAACTCGAACGTAGAAATTTCTAAATATTTTCTCGTTCAGGAAATTAAAAAAAACCAAGCAGTTCTATTCGAATCATATGTCTAGTATTGAAAAAGAAAGAATAAAAGATAAATCGTTGAGAAAATCAAATTATTATTTTACCGATTATACAATGTGCTTATTCAACTATCTAATGCTGCTGATCATTTGTTTTTCTACTTCGATGCTCCGAAACATCTTTGAAGTATAATATTCTGTATACGTTTTTCTTCTACTTTCATCAAGAGTGTGGCTTCTCTTCAGCCACACCCCGACACTCCATAAGCTGATATTGATCAATGACATCTTTATTCAACATCTTTCAGAATTTTTCTCTTTATTTTTTTTTATAAAGTTTTTTTTCGACATTTCATTATTTTTCACCAAAGTTGAGTTCTCTGTGTTATTATCTTATTAAGAAATCACATTAAAATTTTTTTGTTTGTAATTATAAAAATTAGTTAAACACGATCTAAAGCTATATATATTACAATTCTAATAAGCTACTTCCTTTACATTAAAATTCGTCGATACTTGTTGAGTAAATAGTATTCAACTGCAACATTTTGATAAAAATACCATGATGAAATTTTTTGAAAAATATTTGTTTTTTAAATTAAATGAAGAAAAGAACTTATGGTGCGAAAATCTTGACACAAAATATTTACTCATCTTTTGACCACTAGTTAGAATCAAACTTGTTTTGTCCTTTCCGAGTATATGTTAAGAATTTTCTTCTAGGGTAAGATTGGACAATTATTATTAGAATGTTTCAAAATAGTAGTTGTACGAAATACCATTTTAGTCAATTTTATATTTCAATTGAAACCTATCCAATTGAAAATGTGAAATAGTTTTTAATATTATAAAACCCTCTATTTATTTTTATATGGCGGATATTAAAACTTTTATATTTTTAAAAGCAGTTTTTGGAAATAACCATGTTCTTGAGCAATGAAGATTTCCATAGAAATTAGCTCTTTAATAGAAATGCATTGATAAGATTTCGTTCAGAATTCAGTACTATACAATAATCTTGTGTTGAAGTTGTTCTAAGACACAAATTGAGGCGTGTAACTGCTAGTTGTCCAATCTTAATCGAGAAAGAAAATCTGAGCATACAGTTGGAAAGAGCAAAAAATTCTGCGTCTGGTTCTAACTTGTTGTTCTTTTAGTAGCCGAAAACTGAGTAAATATTTTGTGACAAGACTTCAGTGCCATAGATCATTTTATACAAAACATTTCAAAAATCCTACCGTATTATCTGCATTTGAATAACCTTTCCATTTGAGAAGATATTCGATTTTCTTGCCTCTAGTTCGTTTATCAAGAATAGCTTCAACTTGATATTCATGCGAGGAATCATCTTCACTACTTGACATATATTCACGTTGACGTTTTTTCGATGATCTATTCACCATGGTTTTTTCAAATTCTTATCTGAAAAAAAAAATGAAAATCAAACAAAAAAAAATAAACTATTATGTTTTTATCCATCACAATGTTGATAGAAACGAGGAAATAAGATAACATCTCGAACATTATCAATACCCGTAATAGCCATTAAAAATCTTTCTATACCTAAACCAAAACCACCTGTTGGCATTCCACCAAAATGTCTTAAATCAAGATACCATTGTAAATCTTTTGTTATATCTAATTGATCTAAACATAATTTTAATTTTTCATAACGATGCTCTCGAAGACTTCCACCAGATAATTCACCAACCGATGGAAATATAAAATCAAAATTAGCAACTGTTGTATCATCATCATTAATTAACATATAAAATGGTTTTAAATTTTTTGGATAATTAATTATAAAAAATGCTTGAGTATTCATTATTTTATGACAAAGATAATTTTCATGTGCACGATTAAAATCACCATCATCAGGAAAATCATGAAAATCAACACTTTTTCTTAAATATTCAACTGCTTGCTTATAACTTATTCTCGGATAATCCTTTTGATTAAGAAATTGATCAATGTGTGTTGATCGAATATTATGATTAACTAGATATTTGAATTCTTCGGAACATTTACTATATATTTCAGTTACAATTGTACGTAAAAGATCAATATAAGCATTAAGTAATTGATCTAGTTTTGTTAGACCTAGAAGAAAGAAAAGACAAATAGAGCGAATCTAATGAAAGATAACGATTTTTCATTAACACAAAAGAATGAAAACTGTTTATGCTTTTAACAGATGACGCCAGAATTCGTTAAGTCCTTTTTTAAACAGTTCACAGCTTGATTATTCATAAAATGTGGATCTGATGAGAGAATTCCTACAAGTATCAAATCACTTTTCAACTAAAATAATGTTCATTTGAAGAGTAATAGAAAACTCCAGAATGTGTTTGCTTCCTGAACCTTTGTCCTTAACATATCGAAATTTTACTGAATTTTTCAACAAAAAGCTGTAATCCTCTTAGGTCACGTGAAAGTTTCGACTTCAAAACTTACATAAATAAAGTGGTATGATGGGAAAAGGCAGAAAGGAAAAATATCGAAAGTAAAAAATGTCGAAAATGAAAATATCGAAAGCGATGGATGTAAGTGACGGTGCAGATGTAAGAGTGAGGGTGAGAGCGGGAAAGATTCTCTTTCGACCTACTTTCATTTCAATTGCTTTTAGCTTTCGACATTTGTATAATTTCTATTTCCGGCATTTTGATTTTCTACATTTTTTATGTTCAATATTTTTCCTTTCTGCCTTTTTCCATCCATTTAATAAAGTTCTTAATGAGATTAGCTCATTGGGTAAGTTGTAACCTTTCTAGTATCTCCTATCTTGAGATATTCTCCCATAAGTAAAAGCAAGTTTTGTTTATATATTTATATCACCTGCAAGGAGATACTAGACAAGCTAAAATACTATACACAGAAACAATGATTTAACATTTTTTTTTTACTGATATTACGTTTGAAAAGGGAATTTTTGTACATTACCAATAGAACATTCCATTCATTTTCTCATGTTCTTAACCAGAGATGGATATGGAAACAAGTCATCGTGGAACTCCTTAACTGTCCACGTAATTTTCGTATTATTTCAAAAATTGCATGGACTCTGCAAGTAATTTTTGAAATAATCCGAAAATTACGTGGACAGTTAAGGAGTTCTATAATGACTTGCTTCCATGGAGACGTCCATCTCTATTTTTAACATACAAAATACTCATTGATTCTTGAAATATAAATCAGCTTTCAATATAATGATTAATTATACACACATGGAATTGTTGATACGACGAAGAAGAAAAAAATAGAGAAGATTTGATTAGTGGCTTATGATGATTGACAGAATGACAGAAAGATAAGAATAACATAATTAATGAGTCATCATAAGACTTCTTTGACCTCATCATGGAATATATCATGACTAATGAGACTTAAATGTTTATTTGCTTCTTGTATACGTAGTAAAATAAATAATGCATCGCATAGTCTTTTGATAATGAAACATTGAGTTTGAAAAAAATATAATGCTGTCAGCAAAGATAAAACAAATAACTTTTATTATTTGCTTTATTTTAATTGTTTTTGAATTTGGCCCTGGTTAATCTTTCAGTCAAGATCAATGAGAACAACAATATAAATTCACCAACTATTCTACAACGTAAAACATTAATCTAATCAGTAATCTATCTATTCTAAGCGTATGAAAGAGTAAAGTTTAATAAAGTATAACTGAACATGAAATCGGGTCGTATGGTAGAAACTTCTTTCGCAAAGAAATAATGTCTACCATTTTGTGGTTGTCTTTTTTCATTTTTCCTTGTTACTTACATATATCGTTGACTCTTTCAACATAGAGAAACACTAATAAACTATTTCTGTTACTGATATCGACTATCTTAATTAGTTGATAAATAAGGGCCTAATTCTCGATGAATCGGATCCAGAAAATATTAAGTTGATGAAAAAGCAATTAGGGATTAGTTTGGAGACACCGTAATATAGTCTGTTTTTTTTTTATTATGCCAGTTACACTAATTATGTTTACGACGATGAATCACTTCTATCATGCATAATTCTTTTCTCTCTCAAGTTTCGCTAATGTTCTGTATTGCAACGAATAATTATCACTAGTAATATGAGATTAATGTTGATATTAAAAGTCTAAGGGTACATCTTCCTCTATTGTTCGAACGGTCGAAAATAAAAGGCACGTCTTGGAAGAAAAATATTGTCAAATGAATTTTTGTTGGGAAACCTTAGGTTTTTTCTAGGGTCATATTGTCATACATTACAACCCTCATCGAAGTAAGATTGTTCAATAGAGCTGCAGTTTTTATCACTGTTACTTGGAAGTATTCTACAGAAGTTTAATCGGTCACTTACGTTTTTGGCTTTCCTGTCCAGATTTACAGCATTCGATAATCAAGACTCTGGTTTTGACTTTGAGCCTTTGTGTGTTTCTTTCAAAAACAGAAAGCAATTGAAATTTTTGGAAAAACTTAAAATTATCTCTGAAGCATAATCTTAGACATCTACGAACTAATTTTTAACCCAATTGGATAAAGCTTGATGAAGATCGTAAGCAACCAGGATATGGTCCTATGGAAGATCGAGATTTCCTAACAAAAATTCTCTTCAAAATTTTTCCCTCAAACATTTGTCTCCTTATTTTTGGTGCTTTATCTGTAGTAAAAATTCCAATTTGATCAGTTGTATCATCTTTGGCAACCCGACATGGTCAAAAAAGAAGCGGACTATCCTCAATTTTAATCCATCAAACTCATAATTAGTATTAATTCGTACAAATATCAACTCTAATGTGGCCCCTCTGATCATCCAAGAATGAAGTTCTCATCTTATCATCTAGTCTTATTTAAGTACTGTCATGGCTAAGAAGCTATGATTTTCGACACGAATCCACAAGATACTATGTTTATACTTTGGTATCATCAGCCATGGACTGGTCCTGAAAAAAGTCATTAACAACTGTTTATCTCAGATTACACGTCTGACAGCATGCTGCCTACGTTGTTGCAATGAAGCACAAGAGTTCTGCGCCAGGCTAGCCTTCTATCCATAACTACAATTAGTTCTAGTTGTAAGGAAGATATCAGGCTACTGAATCTGCTAATAGACAGGACCCTATAATACCACGTGGCAGTTGGAATGCAGAAGTGATGAAAAAAAGACCTAGTCTACCCATCATTTATTTTTCAAGTCACTATTCAAATGCTAAACTTCAAATGATTGTACCTACCAGCAACTTCAACTTCTAACATCCAAAATTCTGCTAAATGAAATCGACTTAAATTTTTATCTGCGCGAAATGCTGGATTAAGTGTATAGACACGTCCAAAACCACTAATTTAAAAACGAAAAAATTTTGTTAGAAAACTAAACATTTTGTTTTTCGTTTACTTAGCTGCTGTTTCAAGATGTAATTGTCCTGAAACAGTTAAATAGACTTGTTTATTAAAGTATTCTTTTTCTGTACTAGTCGTTTGTGATTGATATGGTTGAATACGAAATGTTTCACCACCACCTTCACAATCATTTTGTGTTAAACATGGTGTTTGAATATGAATAAAATTATGTTTAAAAAAATATTCATATAAACTCAACATTAATTGACTACGTAAACGAAAAATAACTTGTGCAAATGTTGAACGTAAACGAAGATGTTCATGTTGACGTAACATTAATAATGTTTGTTCTAATTTTGGTTTAAATGGATAATTAGTTGCATCACAAGAATTTATTAAATCAATATTATCAGCTTGTAATTCAAATTCTTGTTTAGGATGATCACTTCGAATAAGTTTACCTTGTACATTTATTGAACAACCATAGGTTAAATGAGGTAAACTTGGATGTTTATCTAATGATGCAACAACTTGTAAATGTTTTTGATTATTTGTTAATGAACCATCGAATAGATCAAGAAAATAATGTGTTTTTAATTTTCGTACATTGAGAAGATAACCGATTAAATTTATTGATTGATTTAAAGGTTTTTTATCATATATTTCACGTATTGTTAAAGGATAAATTGTATGAGTAAAACGAGATGTATAAAGAATATTTCTTGGTAATTGTCGAAGATTCAATATTAATGACAAATGAAACATTAGAAATATACAAAAAAGAAAAAAGAATTTTTCTTCAAATGATAATTTTGTTGATTGTTATAGATAAATCTATTCAATAGTAAATTATTGGATATTTTAACAAAAAAAACCTTCTGAATTATAAATAAATTTTATTATGAAATTGACTGTCTCTTCATTTATTGGATAATCTCATAGTGAAATATTATTAGTACGGCGAAGATTACTTGTTCAATAAGTCTTTTGAAGAAAAAAAAACGAAATTTTTAACTAGTTTTTTAATGCAACTATTAAAAGAAAAGCTTCTGGATTAGAAACATTTATATAATGAGATCGATTATCTTTAAAACAGAAACGAGAAGTGAAAAAAGTGATTTTAGGTTAACGTCAACAGTTGTAGGGATCGATATCGTATGAAGTTAGCCTCGGGTCAGCTAAGCTAAACTCAAGCTTATTCCTTAGTCCATGTTATACTTACTTTTCATTTTTCTATGTATGAATCAGAGCGTTATCAATAGGTGTCCTGAGTTGTCGATGAACTATTTCAGGTCCTTCCTTAAAAAAAATCAATTTTTGTGAAAAATATGAAGATTGAGGTAATTGCATAAGAAGATAGCCTGATGTATAATCTCTCATGAATTACATGACATTTTATTCGATACCTTATTTTTTTCCAAAATTTTTCATCATTTGCTTCTGGAAAATTATGGTTTCGTGCAGATAAAGTAGAAAACTTTTTTTTGTTGTTTTTTGTAATCGCGCATTGCAGAGCCCTTCTTTTGAATTAAGCTTCGTTACTATTATAAAGATTCATAGAGGATATTGGATTGTTAAATGAGCTATTTTCGACTCTTGTTTTTGAATATCTTTCGAAAAAATAAAATGCACCTATACCGAGATCGATTTTTGAGGAAATGCTTAAAGAAATTTTGAATGATTAACTTTATTTATTTATTTATTATAGTTCACGACATATACAGAGTGAAGTATTAATAACATTATGATAAAAAAAATCCAACGTCTAATGCGTTGGTTCAATCAAATGGACTAATTTTTTATTTAGCGATAGAGGCTTATTAAGAACTTTCTTTCATTCGAATAAACTAATCTAATATTACTATTAAGTGTTATTCTTGGTATCCATATCCGACATTGGTCAAACTTTTGTGATCCCAGCTGGACTCTGCCTGAGACATCAGAATCATCATTGAACAGATAGTGCGTTTGCTATGTATTGTTGTTCAGTGTCAATAAAGAAAAACCGATGAACTAGAAGAGAAGAGTGTACGACACATAAGTTTTTGCTCTACTAAACTTTTTTACGCTCTATAATTGAAATTTTAAATAAAAACAACATTCAACATATCTTATGTATCCTGGTATCATGAGAGCAACTTATCATGCTGTAAGAAAAATACAAATGTAGCCTTTTATAGATAATTCTCAGTTGTCATCTATAAAAAAAAAATAAGAAGAAATCAAAACGAACATTATGAATGATACTACAAGGTGCATAAAAATATTTTTAGCAAGTAACGCTATCATTCTAAATAATATCAACAATAAATTTTACACTAAATTGAAGTGCGTCGAAAATGAGATTTACCAAAATATCACACAGCAACAATCATGACAAATTTTCAATATCTAATTCAAGAATTTCCTAAAACCTGACGTTAGATCAGCAAAGAAAAATTTCTTTCAAGAGGTAATTCAAAAAAGTTTTCATTTTAAAATGATGAATAAAATCAAAAACCATAATGGCAATCAGTAGCATTTGTACACTACGGAAATGAAGCCGATACGAACATAAAATAATATTAAATAGCTCAATGTTTGTCAAAATATCTGAAATAGATTTGTAATAGTGAAAATGCACAAATTTTCTGGGCTATTCAAAGACTATTTCAATAGTGTCGAACAAAAATTGAGACAAAATTTCAAAGAGAACAAAATTCTGACCGTAATGCATAGCCTTTGACTTGCTAGAAACACTTTCCAGCGGATCGAAAGTGAACAAATATTTTGTCTAAAAACTTTCCGATCATCTGTTATTTTTATTTATTTGAAACAAAATATCAGATAAATTTTTATATTTGTTTTACTAAAATGCTTTTTTGAATAAAGGAAATCTATACATAAAAAAAAACAACCAATGTTTCAATCATAGATTTGTATTACGAACGATCTTCATCATCATCATCATCATCATCTTCATCTTGTTGTAATTTACTTTGTGCTGCAAAAAGTTTTTCTTTTAAACTTTGAGCAAAACTATCCACATATGATCTTGATTCATTTGTTAAAAGAGCTTGTAATGATTCATAATAATTTGTTGACAGTTGACTATTATCATCGAAATGATAACCTACAACTCGATAACCTATTTGCGTTAATTCAATACAAAATTCTACATTAGCATTAGATTTTATATTTAAATATGCTTTTGAAATATCATCAGGATTATTAAGACTTTTTGATAATTGTTTTTCAGCAACAATACCATCACCTAAATCATCTAATGCTAATTGAGCTTCAGCTAAAAAATCACCTTGTTCAGCAGATAATTTATTCATATCTGAAAAAAATCTAAAACAAAACAAAAAAAGAAGTTAAATAATCTTATGTTGCTATGTCTAAATCACATTGTTTTTGTTTTTCGATTGTTTTGAATTTCTGTTTTTTTTTTGTTGATGATTTCAACAGAATCTAAATTTTATTCTTCAAAAAATTCAATTTATGAATCTTTACAAGTACGAACTAATAAACATCGTTGTTTTGTTTTTTGCATTGGACATACATCATTAACATGTGTACCAGGTATTGGTCAGAAAAATAAATATTTATTAAATCAATCTGGTATATATGATTTAACAACACTCTATTCAAAATATCATTCAATAAATAATATTGCAAATTTTAAACAATGGTTAGAATATGATATTGGTTTTACGTCATATCAAGCAAAAATGACAACATGTGGACTTAGTTCAAAATTAGGAAAAATTAAAGAATTAAATACAGGTTTAATACCAATTTGTTGTTCAACAAAAGAAAGACGTAAAGAAAAATATAGATTATTATTTAATAATAAAAATATTAATAAACGAAATCAAAATATTAAATTAATAAATGGAAAAAATAAAAAGTTAAAAATTAAACCAGAAAATTTGTTAACAAATTCTTCTTATGACGATCAAATAGGTAAATTTTATTTTTTTTTAAGAAATTTCTTTCATTTGATTTTTTTTAAATAAGAAAATTCAAAATTATTCAATGCATCCACTCAACAAGACACTAAATCTTCATCCATGAAGAATAAAGATGAATTCGACTTATCATCTAGTCTTTATGAAGTTTCCTTTGATGAAAAACTTAAAGCAAATGATATATCAGAAAGGAAATCAATAAAATTGAATTCACCTTCAATGATTCATGAAACTAGAAATGTTAATATTGAGTCAACAAAACATAGCAATCCATCATTGGAAATGAATAATATAGATTCAAACAAAATATCTTCATCACACGATTTTTCTAAGACTGGTTTATCATCGGACAGTATGCAATCAAAACAATTCAAGATAAATCAAATTTACAACAACCTTGACGCATCATTATCATCAAGAGAACCATCCAATATTTCTGAACTACTGAAATCTAATGACGATCGAGACCAAAAAATGAATGTTAGCTATTCTAAAGAGATAACTATTAATTCTACACAGCAGCCATTCGATTCAATACTATTATCTGAATTATCCAGAGAAAACAAACCTCAATTGAGTATGCAGATTCAAAACTTGCTCAAATAAAAAAACAAATTTTTGCATTTCATTAAGGAAGATCACAAATTAATACAAATGTTATTTCACAACATTTCAATTCTTCGACTGGTAATGTTTTATTAAAGATCAAATCATTTCGTGTCGAAATTTCAAAGAAAAAAATTAATACTTGCTTATATCCTAATCATTTTAGAACAAGAATATTCATCCAAAGAAAAGAATTCTATAGCCTATTTCAATCTCGGTAATTCTTCAGATGCAAAACATAATCCAAAACGAAAACAAGAATTACCAACCAATTGCTTACTGACTAGGGATTTCCTCCAGCTGATAAATCACTTTTCGGTAACAATAAATTATTCTCGTTAAGGTCTAGCTCTATAAAAAGTTTCAAGTCGAAAATCTGTTTTTTGGGATCCCAGTCTTCATTCAAAAAATACCGCAAAAGTACTATATCTTCGCAATAACAATCTTAAAGTACAAAGTTCTTCTTCCGTTAGGAGTCTATTCGACCGTGTCTTTTTTTATATATTTAATTCAGTTTATCTTACAGAAAAAGAGAAAGAGTTGTCGTCAATGGATATCGATTTGTTAACTACATACAAGTATTCTATTGAAAATAAAGTACCAATTAAAATAATCGATGATCAAATAAAAACTCATTCTTCTTCGAGTTTCGTATTAAACGAAAAAACAACTAAATTACATTCAACAACCGGTAAAATATTTACTTTAACTAAACAAAAATTACAAGCAACATTAGATAATTCACAAGATAAACTTGTTTCTACTTCAAAAATTTCACCGAATTCATCCATTGGAAATGATTCTCCAAGAAAATCAATCCTACGTAGTATACAATCAAAATCTATACCTCAATTTCATACTAATCTTCTCTTAGCTTCAATAAAACAACAACAAGAACAAATACAGAATAAATCATTTCAAATAATAGAATCACCAACAACTGATTCAAGTAAAAAATCCAAATCAAATGAAATATCATCGAATAAAATAGATAATAAAAGTATCTCAGCTATTAAACGATCTTACGCCTTATTGCCAATTTCAACACCAGCTGTAAGAAAATTCAAGTGATCATATTTTCTTTCAAATCATCATTACAGATCTTTCCAATAAAACCAAAATCGTTAAAAAAATTCGATAGTTCAGATTCAATACCTTTATCTTCAGAAAATAATCTTACACCAAAAATGGATCATCCAATGTTATCCAATACTAAGTTCAATGTAATTAGTTTAATATCATCGGTGGTTTTCTATTTTTAAAAATAGTCGTTTACTGAGAATTTTTCTCTCTTAGTCTAATAATCCTCCATCAAAAGATGAAGAACTAACATCCAATCGAATCATCAACGATGTAAATACGCAAAATAAAACAATTACTTCATTTCCCGGTAGATTTAAGTGCATCTGTTGTTTTTGATAGTTCTAAATATTTTACAGATAAATTATCGCAAGAGGATATATTTAATCAATTTGATTCATCTTCGAATAAATCTCAACAAAATAAAATCGAAGAAGTAATTGAAAAAATTGTTTGTCAAATAATAAAACAAGCTTTTCAAATTGTCAACGAAGTTATACAACCATCACAAATCAATACTATATCACTCACTAAAGTTGATTTAATAGAATATTCTTCTATTCAAACACCAATATTTCACATGAAAAATTCCAATGATAAAGTACAATCTATAATCTTATCATTAAGACAAGATGATCAACATCGTACTATATCATCGAAATGTATTCCATTAGCTGAACGACTTGCTCAAGCAAAAGCAAAAAAACTAGCAACAATTATAGAATCTAATAGTAAAGATGATCGATCTCTACAATTATTAGAACAAGATAGTTCAGTACGAAAAAAGTGCTTTTCTCTTACCAATGATCGATTAAAACAATCATTTACAAACACAAGTTCTCTAAGTCCAATAAATCAATTTAAAAACAAAAAAAAATCGTATGAAAACTCGACATCTACACATGCTCAACAAGAGTCTAACAATATATTTTTCATCGACAAGATGACAAATACTTCTATATCATCGGCAAATACAGGTTCTTGAAATATCTATAATACAAAAACAAAATAGTCTATAAATGACTAGATTCAGATTACCGACACTTTTTTTTCAATAATTAAGGAAATATATCCTTAGCACGGAATCAGAGGCGACGGGACAAAAAATAACCACATAGTAGGATTAAGTCAAAAATTATTATGCGAAAAAAAAATCATTAATGAAACATTAGAGAAGATCGACATACCAGAGTTGGAACCGGTCCGGACAAGACCGGATGAAAAATTAAACCGGCCCGGACGAAACCAGATTTTTGCCAGTTCATAATATTGAAATTAATCCTTGTATTTCAAAGTTTTCTCCGACGACAACAACTTTTATTCGCTTTTTTTGCGTTGAAATATTATGTCAGCGATTATTAGAAATTCCACATGAAAAAGAGAACATATGTCGAAAATATTTGTACAAATTCATGTACATACATAACTTCGATTGTATTTAGTAGTAGTCGCTTTTGATCGTAATTAATAAACCAGTCAGATTTTTGACGAATTTTTGCCAGTTTGACGTCAAAAATGAACCGGCCGGATTTCAACCGGACAAATTTTGAAGTTGGCCGGACCGGATCGGATAGAAAAAATCCGTCCGGTTCCAACTCTGCGACATACCTACACTCTCAAATTCTCTCACTATATTTATTTGCATATATGGCCATTTTTGTGTCTTCCCTCATCGATTCTATTTCGCGTACATCTTTTCACTCAAATTAAGGAAAAATGTTTGCAATCTATGTTATAAATGTGTTCTTCAATTGTAGGAAATACATTTAATGAAATCTCATCAGCTTTCATGACTAATTCATTCATCGATGAGTCATTTAAGACACAATTCAATCCGCACAAAACATCTGAAAATAGACTGACTATTTTGGAAAACACCTCAAATTATCAAAATTCTCACATGGAAAACAAGATCGATAATCAATCCATTGTAATATCGAAGTCAATCAATAGTTCTCCAAAACTTGATTCATCCTCATTGCCTAACTCAAATAAAAACAATTCTTTAACAAAATTAGGTATTCAAAATAACGATAAAATTAGTTCTTGTAACATAAAAGACTTGTTTTTTAGTGACCACAGAGCTCAAACAAGAAACCTCAGAATTATTACAAGTAAAATCATCTAATGAGAATAAATCTCTATCAACACTATGTAATCTACTTGTTAATTTCTAATAATTATATATATTACTCTTATTTTAGCATCATTATCATCAAGTTCTATGCAATCATCAAACAAAATTAATTCATCTAGAGATAAAATACAAACGAATTCTAGTGATGAAAATTATTCCGAAAAAGAAACAAATTCACCAATAAAACATGATTATTTACTTTTAAATAATTCAATTAGTACAAATAAATTTGAATCTACATTAACATCAAACTTCCATCAAATATCTAATCTAACTACTGTATTACCTATTAATATAATTTCAACAGAATATAACAAACAATCATCATTATTAAGTACAACCCTTTTCAATAACAATAAAAAATATAAACTGTAAAATGATACTTCGTTTCAATTTTCTTCTTCATTGTTTTTATTCCATTTAGTAATACTGCCATGATACCATCTTATCATATGAATCATCAATTACCAATATCACAAAATATAATAATAGATAATGAATTCATAAATAAAAATCTATCTGAAATAATCAATAGAAATGAAAAAGTTGATCAAATATATAATCCATCAATACCAAAACCATGTTATCCTCTTTGGAATAATATATCAAATGAAAATATTCTATTTCAAAATAAAAATAATCATTTGACGTTCATAGAAAAAAATAGATTTTCTGAAGAAATAAATCATAATGATTATAATCAAAATTATCACTCATCAACTACATTATTTACATTTATTACACGACAACAATATTTAAAAGAACAACAAATACTTAATGAACATATTCTATATGTTAAGCAAACAGAACCTTTATATAAGACATAATAATAATAACCTCAACATGCTTCATTGTTACATGATCAAATTGTGTTTGTTTGATTTGTAGAATAAAAATTTTTGAACCAATAATTCTTTTTTTCATGTACAATTTTGAGTGACCTCTATAGGAACAAACGAGACGATAGAGGATGTTGCTAGAGACGAATAATATTTAATGAGCTATACAATTTCATATGAAGTAAAACACGACATTCTTTGTAAGAATTTCAATTTCATTTTTATAGTGCAGTCATGGTATGTTTATTTTCTAAAATTTTTTTTTTTATTTCAAAATAAAATAAAAGAATATGTAATGAAATATTATTTTAGGCTCCAAAAAGAGGTGGCAAGAAGAAGAAATCACCTAAAGCACCGACCATCATTGATGGTCGTCCAGCTGCTGAGGTTTGTCTTATTTGATTCCTTCAATTATTTAAATGATTTTATTAAAAAAGAAAACATTTATTATAATCTTAGATGACAAAAGAAGAATTAGAAGAACATTTAGGTCGTATACGTGAAGAACTTGATCGTGAACGTGAAGAAAGAAATTATTTTCAACTTGAACGTGATCGTATAAGCACATTTTGGGAAATAACAAAACGACAACTTGAAGAAAAAAAAGCTGAATTACGTAATAAAGATCGAGAATTAGAAGATGCAGAAGAACAACATCAAGCTGAAATTAAAGTAAGTCTTATAGAGAATTTTAGAGTATCTAAGAAGAAAAACAAACATTCACATGCAAGATGACTACAAAGAAGAATTAGAAAACTTAAAGGTTTATTTAAGTCTTAACATTACACTATCTTTTACCTCCTGTATGTCTAAGATATTCACTAGTACTAATATAATGAGAACATACAATACAGTTCAAGCCAATGTAACAACTGTACGATTACATATGTGTTGATTGAATACAGTATTTCGTTAAGAAAGATAACTAACAATAAAGACTGAAAGCAATGATATTTCAATGCAAGCTAGTTTTTACTCAATAATCTTTTGAATGAATTTAAATCCGAAAAAGAACTTAACTTTGATTAGGTAAGTTCGATTAACTAGATTGAGTTGAAAATACTTTTAACAGTTAGGAATAAATTAAGTTAATCTATCGACAGTTAGAAGTGATCATAATTTACAAAAGAATAAAATATTTTTATATCAAATAAAATTTCATCCAAATCAGAATTCAAGAGTATAACTGATGATTCATAAGTTGATAATGTGCTAGAGAATCATGGATATTCATCTATAAAAACTAAAGATAGTCAGAATTTTTTTTTGTCTTTCAGACTTCCTGGACCGATGTGTGCTGATTATTTCTGTAAAAAACAATTTTTTTATTTAAGAAATATGTGACAATGCCTAGAGTTATAATACTGAAAAACGTCATAGCTCTGTCGCTAGAGAACTTTTGGTTTTTATAACTGACTATCTGTTGAACAGTATAGTGTGAACTATCGTTAAGTCATATTCCCACAAACATGTTAACATTTATCAATAGCTTAATTCATTAGCACTATCAAACATCTATAGTTCCTTCAATAAATCTTTCAAACGACTCTTTTCCATGAGAACAAAATGTTATAAAAGATAGACGCGGTTCAATTTCTCCTAATTTTGATCCAACATTGATATCACAATTGTAGAAAAATATTGGACTATTGAATCCGTTGCTAGGCAACAATCTTTGTCGCAATATCATTTTTTCTTTAATATAGAAAACTAATTCAATGAATTTTATTTACGTATAGGTTTATAAACAAAAAGTAAAACATTTGCTTTATGAACAACAAAATAATATTGCCGAATTAAAAGCTGAAACTATTGCTGAATTAAAAGTAGCTCAAGAAGGACATAATGACGCTGAAAATACAATGTGGAAGGAAAAACGAGAACTTAAAGTACAAATGAAAGATCAAGAATTAGCTCAACAAGAAGTTGTACGAAATTTGAAAAAGGTTTGATTTTATTAATTTATTTTTCGTCATATTTTACTTGAAATATATTCTTAGTCGAATGAATCATATGTATCAAAATTACGTGATGATTTTCTTCGACAAGCTCGTGAAATTGAAGAAAAATATGAAAAAAAATTACGCGATTTACGTGAAGAAATGGAATTACGTCGTAAGACCGAAATACATGAAATTGAAGAACGAAAAAATCAACAAATTAATGATCTTTTACGTAATCATGAAAAAGCATTTAGTGATATTAAAAATTATTATAATGATATTACATTAAATAATCTTAATTTAATTAATACACTTAAAGTAATATGAATTGATTTTCGTATACGTCAATATTTATTGTCCTTTTTTGTGAAACACAATCTGAATGGAGTGTTGAAGTATATAGGGTAGAGATTTGCACCCTTCCCCCTCCCCGAGACCGTGACAGACATAGTCCGGACCTATTATAGACAGTGACAGGCGACTTCAATGATCTATTAGAGGTGATGTATAACTAGCATTTAATTAAAATCGATATATAGTATTTCGTTGTTGAAGTTTTATGCTGTAGGATAAGAAATGATGATGAAATATTCCCCCATTATACATAAAAAAGACAGGTCTTCAGAGGATTAGCAATAATGGATACATTGTGTGTCACCTTTTTGATCCCACAGAGATTGTGTTAACAGCTTTTTGTTTTTAGAATGAAATTGAAAAGAAAAAACAAGAAGAAGAACGATTAGAAAAACGTATGGCCGAACTGGAAAATGAAAATCGTAAAATGCGTGAACCACTGGAAGCAGCAAGAAAAGAAATGGAAGAATTAAGACGACGAGCTGAAAATTATGAAAAAATTAAAAGTTTATATGAAGTATAACTAATATGAATTATTTTCTTTTTAATCTATAAAATAAACCAATTTAATTATTTAGAGTAAAAAAACTCAATTGAAAAATTGTGAAACTGATTTAAAAAATTCTAAATGGGAATATGAAGTTTTACTACAACGATTTGAAATTGTATGTTTGTTCTTCTTTTTTTTTAATCATAATTATCAAAATTTTCTTTTTTATGATTTAGATTCAAAAAGAACGTGATGATCTTTACAATAAATTTATTAAAGCTATTAATGAAGTTCAACAAAAGAGTAGTTTAAAGAATTTATTATTAGAAAAGAAATTGTCTACATTGGCTGATAGTCTTGAAAAGAAAGAAGCTCAATTAAATGAAGTATTATCGGCATCAAATCTTGACCCAGCATCTTTATCAGTTGTCACGCGAAAACTTGAAGTAAACATATTTTTTTTCCTTTTTACAAAACTTAAATTAGTCTTTGCTTTTTTTTTGTTCACCGTATTCTAGGAAGTACTTGATGCTAAAAATACATCGGTAAGTATTCTAAGACTTGCTTCTGTTATAGAAACGTATGAATTCTCACATAATTTTTCAAACTAAACTATATGATAAAACTTAATAGTGTAATTGAGATTATTCAGAATGACTGTTAAGCTTTAAGAAGAATTCAATTAGAGCATTTCATGTTTATGGTAAAAGATTAAGTTTTATCATATATTATTCTCACCGTCATGTTTGTTTTTCAAGACTAAGCAAGTACAACAGTTTTGACTACTCACTTTAACTTCTGTATAAATATATAAAAGCTTATTTTTCAGAGAAGAGTGAACGAAGAAAAGTTATGAATTATTTGCTTAAGTTTCATTCAGATACAAATACTTAGCCACACATTCCATATCATAGATTATTCAACTTAAATGTATCTGAAAGCTAAATTATACACTATTAAATTAAGACTTCTCTATTATGGTTTGTGAAAAAAAATCTGATTTTTTTACTTTCTTATAGATTCGTGATTTACAATATGAATTGGCTCGTGTTTGTAAAGCTCACAATGATATATTAAGAACATATGAAGCTAAATTACGACAATTTGGTATACCGATTGAAGAAATTGGCTTCAAACCATTAGAGAGTACAGTAGCTGGTCAACAATTAGGTCGAGGTGTCGCTGGTCTTGTAACAAGTCCACCATAATAAGACTAGTTTTAGTGAAATGTTGTAAATTCTATTTATATTTACCACAAATCTTTTTTTTGAGCTGCTGCTGCTTCTTCTTTTTTTATTTTTTAATGCAAAAAAGATCAATATGAATTTTGGGATTAATTAATATAGTCCGACAACAGAAAAACTGCTTGATATTTGTAAAATGATTACTTGTACGATACAACAGAAAAACATCGAAGAAGCAAATAAAAAAAGATCAACAACAATATAGTCTATATTATATGCTTTCTTGATTAAAAAACATTACAAACTGATAAAGGACCTCTTTCCATAAAACCAAAATGTTTTCAGTTGTATGAAACGAACATAAATTCATATATTATCCCTAGGCCTTCTAATTTTTATAGCATCACCATTGTATTCTATTGCAATAATTTAAATTGAAAAAATAAACAAAATTGAATTTAACAGATTTTAAGTTTCGAGTTTATTTTCGCGAATGAGAAGATACATCATAAAGCGTTGATATTGAAAGAGAACAAAACTGTATGGAGAGAAAACCATCTGTTACTTGTTTAGTAGATTCTCGTGTTGATTCTAAAACTAAACAATCAGGATAGCAAATCCATACATTTAAAGCATTGTCAGAGATGAGCAGCTCCGGCCTTTGTCCGCTTCGATAACAGTATCCGCTGCTCCAACGACAATAAAAACTGAGTATGAGTGTGTGGATGCGGTGTCGACGAAGAGAAGACTGATACCTTTACTCACACTCAACGGACCCTTGACCGAGAAAAGTTTTTGAAACAGAAACACGAAGAAATTTTCCAATTTTAAATAGAGAAAAATTTTATTTATTATAAGTGTTTTTTATGCGTTTTATATAGATTGGTCTTATTAGGAACGTTCTTTGGCTTACTGTTGCAATTAGGAATAGCATTCCCAATGAGGACAAATTCAGTCAAGTGTTTATCGCTCATCTAGTTTTCAAAATAAATGAAGAAATTTTGCATCATTTGGTTT